CAGTCCTGACGTCACAGATCCCGAGGTTGACACTAGTGATGACCCCAATGATGACGATGATGTTGACAGGGAAACAGACACTGAAGACACCAGGAATGACAACAATGTTATAACTGAAAGAAAGAATAAGTCGGGTACTGGCAGTACTGGAGGTATAGTATCAGGGGTTGTAGTCACTCTCTTCCTTGTCCTGGTCTTGATAGCGGCGGTAGTTGTGGTAATCATCTGCTTCAGATGGAAGACCAAGCAAATGGCGGTGAACACCAAACAGGTCAATATTAACCAGAACTACGAGTCACACGACATGCTCCAAGATGGGGAGAAACATCTCGATAACCCTGTGTACAGTTTCGGAAACGACCAGAAAGCTCCACAGCCTCAAACGGATAAAGATCCCGTGGAGCACGAGTTTGCGAACCCACTCTACTCTCTGGCAGAGGTTGAGAAGCCTCAGCGCAGCACCATTGATATCTATGCAGATGATGATCCAGAGTATGCAGTGCCAGAGAGGAAGGATACGGGTACACAGTCTTCTAGTGAATTAAACAATCCCGAACCTGCCTATGCATATGCTGAAAATGTATGAGACATTTGTTTGTTGTGACGTAGTGTAGTAAGAATTATAGTCTTGTATGAGTAAGTGGAAGAGAGTAAGCTGTCTATTTACACTGACCATTTCCCCTTGTGTGAAGCCACGTTGTGGGGTTTGGAAGCTATTCCATATACTGTGTTTACTATACACTTTGATGTGCGAAATGACAGCTGGTTATGGTCGTGGGCTCTCTTTCGGTATAATTATACTTCCTATAGTGGGGGGTGCCGGCGCGGCGCGGTCGGTTGATCATGCGCTCTTCCGCACGCATGCGCAAAAATACGCGCAAAATCAGGTGCTCCACCTCCTATCCGACGACAGCAGCGCGCGAGCTGCTGTATTCGCAGAATGTCTACTGTTTGACAAAAGAGAAGAGAGATCGAGAGTAGCGGTTGCTGAAATACTCTAGAGAATGATGTTCATTATTGTACTGTCGCTTATGGTTGGATCTCGTGGAGCCTACGGTACGTTTCGACTGACGGAGCATTGTGTATATATTGTGATCGACAGTCTGCCTTGAAGGTCTATAAAAAGACTCACACACTCACCTTTTAATTGTTCCCTTAGCATTCTCATGTGGACACACATGGCATAGGGAAATTTGACTGGTAGATCGTAGTGCAAGAGCTACATATGTAGTTGCAACTCAGCATTGTTCTGTACAAATAAGTCCTTCATGTAGCTAAAGCATGCAACTATAACATCCCTGGGGGGATTGGGTGGTTAATGTGTAACTTAATATAGCTGCACACTGAACTTTGTGATCACACCCTTCCATCCACTATATAGCAGGAGATGGTCACTGTCGGCATACCCAGACCTTCCCATTGGTGCCAGATGGTCATGTGGTGCGATTCAACAGCCGGGAGTGTGATACCGACTTTGACCACCTCCAGAGTCACGTTTTCTGTGAAGACAGCGGGTGGGGAGACGAGGAGGCAACAGTTGTTTGTAGAGACCAGTTGCATTCACACTACGGCATTGGAGGTATAGATAGAAAGCTTTATTATGCCTAAATTGATTAGTCCCTTACTCGGGATAAATGGCTTAATCAAGCCAACATTTCTGGCTCTCTACTCTGTTCTTGTTACTGTTTTTGTCTGGGATATTGCATTCTATTCTCATGACTCCAACATTACCGATGCCAATTCCCCTGGTGTCTACAGGCTATGTACACATTGACCCAATGGAGGTTGGCCTCCAGTACGTGAATTGCTCAGGGAGTGAGGGGGCACTGGAGGAGTGTGCAGTAGCAGCAACCACAACAATGACTCAGTGCTCTCAAGCTGGCATCATCAGGCAGTGCCTCAATGGTATGTAACCAAGGAGGGAGGGTGGAGGCAGGGAGTGTGTAATTGCTATAGCTACACCCTTTAGTTTCACAGATATATGTGTCGCAAACAGAGGACTATGAACTGTTTGATTATGTGGAGGTATCAGAGGGAGAAACTTCTATATTGGACCAAACGATGGTATATATTAGAGTAAGCACTTGTTTTAAATATGATATGATGATTTACTCAATCATAAGTGAATGCATCGAAGGCAATGTGACAGGGTCAACTAATGGCCATCTTCAGTTGGTAGAGATGTGTAACAGTGATGGAGTATGGTCTCCAATCTGTGATAATGAATGGACCCAAGAAGATGCCACTGTCGTCTGCAGAGAACTCGGCTACCGAGGTTAATAATTGTTTTATACTACCATTGCCGTATTTGGTTAACTATTAGATGCCTTTGTTTAACCTACCCTATTAGAGAGTCGGTAGACTCTCTATATAGGGATGACACGGGTGAAATCTCACGTGATCCGCGTACAAAA